TTAAATTGTTGTCCTAGAGACAGTGTTCTTGTTCAGCCATTTAACATTATAAGTGGTGAAAGCTTTTACTCTTGAAATCTATGCCAAAACTCTCATTACTAAAGGAAGACATAACAAGTAAGATAGATAAAAGTGTAAACATGATTTATTTCAAGATGGCGTCATGAGAGAGGCAGCTAGTTACAGGAGCTCTGACCACCTTCCATTCTTAAATTTCTCATTTGTGGGATAATAAAGGTTTATTCTATTCTTATTCTATTCTATTTATTTAAATCCATATGGAGTTTGTCACAAGTATTTTAGTATAAAAATTACAAGTATAGTTTTGCTATGGTAATAACACAAGGCAAAGTGACTGAGGTGTTCCTGTGATTTGGGTATGTTTTACACAGCTCTGTAGAGTACACCATAGCTAGAATTTGTGAACTGTGATGTGTAATTATTTTCATACCAATCAGTAAAAAGATCCTCATTGACAAAGGTGCTGGACTGACCTCATAGTAACCTGGGGAGAGACTGTACTTAAGAGAAAAAAATAATAGTGTATCAGCATGCATAGTTTTAAAAGATTTAAATTGATTGATTTTAGTCATTTTTAAATATACAGTATATGCTATCATCTCACTTGTGGTGTTACTGAATTTTCCCTCTGCACTTGGGATGCAGTCAAAAGAACAGAGAATGGATAGCATCAAATATATATTAGGGAATAATAATAATAATTGATATTTTATTGACTCATGTGGGGAAATTCTCTTTATGCCTCCCCCAACTTGCTCTCTGTTGGTAAGAGTAAGCTGGCTGTGAAGGGCAGCCATCCATAGCAGAACCCAGGGAGCTGGGGGTTAAGGGCCTCGCTCAAGGACCTGCAGACATGCTGAGATTTTGCTTGAACTAGTGACCTTCTGATCACAGGCATAAAGGGTTAGCCCACTCAGTCACATTCCCGGCCCTTTTACATAATCCCGTAGTGAAGAAATGGTAATCCAATAAGAATTATCCTGATGTATATGGCTTTCTACCCACGATTTGATTTAATAATTTGGAAGGTCGGATTACATTATTTTGTCATTGGTAACATGTTTACAGTGTATTTAGATGCAGAAATGTTTTCAAGCCACAGTTACAAGAAACGTCAACAGACTATATGAAGATTATAGCGAATCTGACAGTTGATGACAACACTGTGCACTCCACAATTAATGTAGCCTGATCCCAATTACAGAGGATCTTTCAGAAAAAAAATGTTTAAATGATTTACTATGAAACTTTTTTTTTTCAGAAAGAAATACAGGCAACCAAAAATTAACCTTCTCACCATTTTGAGGAAAGGTCAACAATTTACGGTCATTTTATCGCTTACTGTGAGAATATGTTTTATTTGTTTTAGATAATAAAGACAGAAACTACATGAATTCTCCAAAGGCAGTGAAGCATAAACAGCCAAAATGGCCACTTCCAGAGGTAGAAGAACACAGGGATGCTGGTGTAGAGATGGTAGGTCAGCAGTGTCTCTGTAGAGAGCAAGATCACACTCAGGGACTCATAGAGAGACAAATAATTTATATACAAGGCTGCAGTTTTAAAGGGATATTGAACATAGATTTTACAGTGTCTTTTGTTTCCTGTGATATAATTGCCATTTGCTATTATGTAATTAAAGTAAAACTAGCTGGTGAGCAGTATGCTGTGGTGATGTGCTCGTCTGCAGTTAAAGAAATGAATGGCCAGAATGTGTAACTTGCAATTAGGATTTATTCTTATAGAGACTTGGTGGGCATTTTACCCATCAGGCTTTTTCTAGAGTTTAACTCAGGCTTTAACAGAATAATGTAACATTTGGGAACAAAAATGCAGAAAAGAAGACCATAACTGGAAGCCAAAATAGCAAATATCTCCACAGCTACAGTGAACTTCCCAGGTGAGCTGACATAAGCTGGGATAAAGGTGATCCAGACGGCACAGAATATGA